TCGTAGTCGTCGCCCGCGGCGGTTCCCAGGCGCCGCGGGCGCGAATGGTGACGCTACGAGACCCCGCCCGCCCCTGGGAACGCCCGTTGTGGCTGGAGAGTAAGAGAAACTGGCTCCAATGAGACCGGGGTAACCCAGAGGCTCCGAAACCATCAGGTCGGAGGTGCAATCGCGGGGGAGCCACCTTCTCAGATCTACGACGGTACGATTTTGTTCAATCTGGGTGTTTTTCCTGAACTTCGGCCTCTGGGGCTCATTGTCGGGCCTGGGGCGACAGTGGAGGCCAGTCCACAAGAAACCTTCCACAAGAAACCCAACCCTGAGACCCCAGGACGTCCATGGATTTTTGGTGGGACGTCACGCTTCGCACGGCAAAACCATTGAAAACCGAGAAACCCAGGGCACCCTGTGAGGCAAGCAGGGTGTTTCTTGGCATGGGTCTTCACTGTACGCCCATGCTCCCCCCAAAGAACCAGATATGTTCGGGCATGTTGGCCTACACGTCGTTCATTTCGAATCGCGCTCGTTTCTAAGTGTGCTCTTTTCTACTTGTTCCTGGCCCCCTAGTGGCCAGGAAGCGACCCAGGATATAAGTATTAGACATGCAAGGATCTTGCCCCCACTTAGAAATGAGCAATGTGTATGCTTGAGCATGCTGGCCTATGCGCACAGGGACGCGCACGAGCGGCAATGTCGCGCGGGTGTGCGCGCGCCGTGCGCACACGGCGGCGCGGTGCGCCCTGGAAGGATCTGCAGATTCGCGCTGTCGCGTTTGCACCGCCCGAAACACATGCGGTGGCCGTCTGCACCTGGCTTGCGCAAGCATGCCAGTGGAAGCAATACGGTGGGGGCATTGGATAAGGAAACCTTCGATAAGGAATCCAGGGTCTAGAAGCCAGTGGAGTTCCAGTCGTGGATTGGCAATGGGTATCACCGCCGCCCTTCTTAGATGAGGACCCCCCAGGGTCTGAAGCCTCCTGTGCACATTCCTGAACCAACGCCCCCACCGTCCAGGAGTACGCGTATGTATGGCAAGTGTTGCGGAAGCGTTGAATGAGAGAAGCGAGATCACAATCGGCTCGACTATCCTGGCTGCATGCGTGTCCGCAAGTAGCTACCGTACGCGCTTGCGCGAACGCACTTGCAATGCGGCGTGCTCATGCGCGTTTTCTGCGTGTTGTGTGTCGGACGGCCTCCGGAAGGCGGGACTCTCAAGATTGCAGCATCACCCTCGAGCGGGATCCGGGCTGCGGAAGCAGGAGCCACGTGTTCGGAGACGGGGGGGAGAGGAGGAGGAGGAGGAGGAGGAGGAGGAGGAGGAGGAGGAGGAGGAAGAGGAGGAGGAGGAAGAGGAGCAGGGGGGCGAGGAGGATGCGGAGGAGGAGGAGGAGGAGGAGGAGGAGGAGGAGGAGGAGGAGGAGGAGGAGGAGGGAGAGGAGGAGGCGGAGGAAGAGGAGGAGGAGGAGGAGGAAGAGGAGGAGGATGCGGATGAGGAGCAAGAGGAGGAGGAGGATGAGGAGGAGGAGGCGGAGGAACTGGGTCAATGGGAAAGCAGTGCCTGGGAATCGGTGCCGCGTCGCGGATAGATGAAGCTTCGGCGATAAGTGTACGTAGTTCAAAAAGTCGTCCCCAGACGATGTTTCGACTGTGCTGTAGTGCCCTTCCTGTGGAGGGACATGCCCGACTTGAGGATCGCTCGGCGAGAGGGCTCTCGGTGCCGAAGCCGGGCCTTCCTGGGCATGCTGGGGCGCGCAGGCCCCCGGTCGGCGAGGAGTGGGCGACCCGGGGGACGACGCTTCCGCCCGCCCCCCCCCCCCGGGGCCAGTCCCCCCCCCCCCCGGTGCGGCGCCCTTGAGCGAGCCTCGGGGGCGAGCGCCGCAATCTGGGAGGGGGGGGGGGTGAGGAGGAGGGGAGGAGGAGGAGGAGGAGGAGGAGGAGGAGGAGGGAGGAGGTAGGAGGAGGAGGAGAGGAGGAGGAGGAGGATCGGCCCAGATAGAAGAGCGCGCCGAGTTCGGGTGACGGACGCGGTGGGGCAGTGGGAAAAGAACAGATGCATAACTCTCAATCAACAGTGATGCCCAGGGCGTGGGGCTTGCGACCCAGGGAGACCCAAACGGGGGCCACCCGTCACGATCAGCGCCAGGCCGAGGAGGGGGAGGGGGAGGGGGATGGGGAGGGGGAGGAGGAGGAGGAGGAGGAGGAGGAGGAGGAGGAGGAGGAGGAGGAGGAGGAGGAGGAGGAGGAGGCATGGCATGGGTTGGCCCTGAAGGCGGTGCGACAAAACTGATCCCCCAAAAGGGATCACTCGTCCGAGCTGGGATCCTCGGGGGTTTCGGCCGCGCGCTGGATCTCACGGCGAACCATCTCTCGCACAACCACAAAAGCTGCAGCCTCGCGTCCGAAGGCTCGGAGGACGTCGTCTCGACCCCTCGCCCCCGCCCCGCCCCACGCCGAACGGGCGCGGGCGGGAGCCTTGGCGGAGAGGTCGGCCTCCATCGCCTGGCTGGCTGGGCTGGCCCGCACTTCTGGCATCACCCCGTGTGGGCGATCCAACTTGAGGTGCTTGACTCCCACTCAGTAGCGGGGGAAGTCACCCTTGGAAATCATGCGAAGCTGGTCTTGGGTGCCCCGCCCCACATGACCAGGGCAGCTCGCCAAAATGGCAGGCGTCGTCTTCCCCTCGGAGCAGACCGCCCCGCAGCGGCAGCAGAAGAGGAGGACACGCACCATGAGGCTGTCGTGGTCGCGGTCGCCTGCCTCAATGTGTGCCACAGCCGCCCAAGCGGCGGCCTCTCGCACACACTCTGACAGTCCGCGCCACGTCTCGTACAAACTTGCAGCAATGCCGTGGGCCGCCGCCCCACGCTTAGCGAACTCGTCCGCCGCACTGTTGGCTCGACGTTACCGCTCCGTAGCCTGCCCAGCCTCCATCTGCACACGCATGCAGTGTGCGCGGGCCTTGTGCACTTGTAAATCTGAACACTGAAAGGCGGCCCAAACCTGGCTCCAAAGATGCGCACGAGCGTTAAACGGTTCAGCACCTCCACCCTCCCAGCGTCGGACCGTGCCGACGGTCCCTGCACTATCGACGTGCAGCGTGAAAGGGGGAGGGCCACTTGCGTCAGCATGTTCAGCGCAAAGTCCTCAGCATCCCTGGCCTGCTGCCTGGGAGCCGCTGACCTTGGAACAGGCCCGTAGGCCGCCGCCTGCACGCGGCCAACGTTGTCAACCTGTACGACAGACCAACCAGCTCGGGCCAGGTGCGGGCAGTTGGCCCACAGGGCCGAACCGTCAGTAAAACGGAGCCCGCTCAGGAGGCCCAGCGCAGGCCTGTTGTGCCACAGGATGGTGACCTCGGGCTCCTCAGGGACCTCCAACAAGACCGCGGGGCTCGGGAAGAGGCCACGTGCGAAACGCTCTCCCTCGTCGAAGCCCGCGGGCCGTCCGCTGCAAGAAGACCGAGACGCCCTACCTACGCTGCACGCTTAAAGCTCGGCATTCATAGGCTCTGTGCCACAACGACCCCTCAGGGTCCCCGCACCGAAGGTAGGCCCCAGACTCCACCAGGCCGTGCTTGAAGAGCCTGCGGAGGAGGAGGAGGAGGAGGAGGAGGAGGAGGAGGAGGAGGAGGAAAAGGGGGAGGAGGAGGGGGAGGGAAGGGGGAGGGGAGAGGAGGAGGAGGAGGAGGAGGAGGAGGAGGTAGGAGGAGGAGAGGAGGAGGAGGAGGAGGAGGAGGAGGAGGAGGGGGGGAGGGGGAGGGGAGGGGAGGGGAGGGAGGGAGGGAGGAGGAGGAGGAGGAGGAGGAGGAGGAGGAGAGGAGGAGGAGGAGGAAGAGGGAGGAGGAGAAGGAGGAGGAGGAGGAGAGGAGGAGAAGGAGGAGGGGAGGAGGAGGAAGGGGGGGGGAAGGAGGAAGAGGACGAAGAGGATGAAGAGGATGGAGAGGACGAAAAGGACGAAGCGGACGAAGAGGACGAGGGGGGGGCGGTCGCGCATACTCGCGATGCAGTCGCGCCTGAAGCCAGTGTCTGTGACAGCAGACCCCGAGCTTGCTCAGACCCCAGGATGGAAGGGACCACCTCGGGAGGCTGCACGAAGCCACACAATGGCTCGGGGAGGTACGCATCCGGCGTGCATCGTATCAGAATCGATCCTGGGAGCTCCATTCTGGGGGCGGACCGACAAGAGTTTCGCGGAAGCCATGAGTGGGGAACCATATTGTGGGGCCAAGCTGCTAGGCATGCCGAGGAGGTCTCGAACGGGACCTCATGGGCCAAACCGCTCACAATTGCGACGGGTGATGGAGCACACATCCTGCCAGCACTGCTTTGCCAAGAAGACGTCGTTCCTTACCTTCACCGCACACGTGCAATCCGTTCGATAAATGGTGAGAATACGGTTGGTTCCGCCTTCAAATCAAAAATCCCTGACATGAATCCGGCACATATGGAAAATCCCGGATATGAATCCGGCAAACACAGACGCACGCATATGAACCTTTTTCAATCCGCCACACGCATACGCAACGATCAACGATGCATACAGTGGAGAGCGTCTTCTGTGCATGCGTCACTCGTGCTAAATCCCAGCCTCCCCCGCTCTGGAACGAGACCCCTCCTTCCCTCACAAATCCCTCCTCTCCGGACCCCCTCCCTGTATTGATGCGGCGAAGCACTGAGGGAAACTAATGATAGCATCCCTCCCGTTCCCCCATCCACCTCCCTTATCTCTCCCTCTCCGTCCAACATCCCATCCTCCTTGTCTCCTCCTCCGCCCCGTAGTCATCCGCCCTCATCCTCCTCCTCCCTCCGCTTCCTCCTCCTCCTCATCCACCCCTTCTCCCTCGGTTCCTCTCTGCTGCCTTGGTAGACCGAAACGACAAGAAAAAACACTTCGGGGGGGGGGATCCCTGCAGCCAGAAGTCGACATCTGTGCGCGCGGGGCCAACGAGATGAGAGGGAGCACGCCAGCCTCCGAAAATGTCGGCCACGGCGGTGGCCGACCTCGGGCGGCTACGCAGACACTTGCGAAGAGGATGAAGCGTGGAGCACTGCGGGTGAAGACGTGGGACGGTGACTGGGACGTAGGCAAAGGAGCAGTGGAGGGGGACACGTTTGCATGCGCGTGCTGGTCGGTGACGACACCGAAGCCGGGATCTCGCTCAGACATGCCGCGCCCCATCGCCACCCCGCTCGCCCCCGAACTATACACCTCCTATCGCGGGCCCTGGGGTCCGACGCGAGAGAGGCGCGATGAAGTCTGCAATCGTTGGGAAGCATGGAGAACTGGGGCACCTGACGTGAACGGTGCAGCAAGCTCCTTGATAACAATCAAAGCACGGCAACAATAATGTGGGTCATCATCACCATCGTGTTCATCATCATCATCATCATCATCATCATCATCATCATCATCATCATCATCATCATCATCATCATCATCATCATCATCATCATCATCATCATCGTCATCATCATCATCATCATCATCATCAGCAGCAACATCAACTTGATGATGATGATGATGATGATGATCATCATCATCATCATCATCACCATCACCATCATAGCCATCATCAGCATCAGCCGCATCATCATCATCAACATCACCATCACCATCACATCATCATCATCATCATCATCATCATCATCATCATCATCATCATCATCATCATCATCATCATCATCATCCTGATCCTGATCCTGATCCTGATCCTGATCCTGGTCCTCATGTTCATACTCCTCATCATCATCGCCCCGTTCATCGCTTCTCGCTCACCGCTCCTCCTCCGCCGCTTCCTCGTCTTCCCCTGCCCCCTCCGCCTCCCGCTCCTCGCAGCTCGCTCCACGCTCTTCCATCCTCGCTCCTCCTCCTCCTGCTCCTCCTCCTCCTTCTCCTCGTTCCCCCCCTCCTCCTCCTCATTATCCTACTCGTTCCTCCTCCTACTCCTTCTCCTCCTCCTTTCTCCTCCGCCTCCTCCTCCTCCTCGTTCCGCCTCCTCCTCCTCCTCCTCCTCCTCCTCGTCCTCCTCCTACTCTTCCTCCTCCTCCTCCTCCTCCTCCTCCTCCTCCATTCCTTTTCTGATACATAAGTTCTAAGTTCTCCCTGTCGCATCCCGAGGCCAATTTTTAGGGCGGTCTGGGCGTTTCGCCTGAGACTTCCTCACCATTTACGACCCTGCAGATCAAAAACTGACAACGGTTCCACAGATGGAGGGCGGGCTGTTTACAAAATGTGGCTCTCGCCTCAGCGCCGCGCACATTCGCTTTAAATATTTGCAAGAGTTTCACGGATTGAGGGCGGTTCCTTTTCAAAATGTGGCTCTCGCCTAGCGCCGCGCACGTTTGTTTTTTAAACTTAGCAGGAGTTTTAATGCTTGAGGGCGGTTCCTTTTCAAAATGTGGCTCTCGCCGTAGCTCCGCGCACATTCGTTTTAAAACTTCGCAAGAGTTTCAATGATTGAGGGCGGTTCCTTTTCAAAATTTGGCTCTCGCCTTAACGCCGGCGCCGCGCACATTCGTCTTAAAACTTCGCAAGAGCTTCAATGCTTGAGGGCCTTCCTTTTCAACTGTGGCTGTCGCCTCAGCGCCGGCACATTCAAAATGTGGTTCCTTTTCAAAATGTGTTTTCTTGCTTTAGCGCCGCGCACACTCCTGCTTTTAATCTGCAAGGAATTCACGGAAATCCGATGTTCAGCGTACCAGAAATGGTTGTTGAGAAGGGCTCGTGCTAAGGAGTGTGCAAGAATTCCTTTGATTCGCGATGTTGAAGTCAAGGAAGGGCGTTCTGGCACGACTCAAGATTGTCAGCACGCAACAGTTAGGTTGATCAGTGGCGTTGGAATCTCGAGAACGATGTTTTGGCATGCGTCAAGGTCTTCAAACGGCTGTTTTCAAACGAGGCAGTTCCCCAGTGGAAATGAACCCTTTTAGGGGCCTATAAAGAGGCAGCTTGGAGGGAGAGTTTATTCCAACATCGCTGATGCCTCTTGGGCTTACACTGGTCCTCCTCCTCCTCCTGGCTGTTTTTGGGGAAATCGTACAAGGTCCCCTCGGGAGGCTTTTTGAACGTCTCCTGGGCGCCGTTTGAAGTCTCTTTTTGTCGCCCCGTCAGTTGACGCTGACCTTCTTAAGTCTGTTGTTGTCACTACACCGACCTTGCAGACGCGCTGCGTGGATTCCCGTCGATACAAAAACCCGAAACGGCGAGTGAAAAACGAAGTGCGTTTCACGTGGGTTCTCTGTAATCTTCATTTCTGGCCAAAAAAAATCCGCATGAAAATCGCTTCGAAATCCGGAACGCAATTCTCCAGGACAGTCCGGGCCCGTCCCACTGTTTTCCAAATGAAATCCGCTCTGCGATTCGGTCAGGCATGTCCCCTTACAGGCGGACTTTGGACGAAACAATACAAATAGTCAAACACTAGCCCAAAAAGTCAAAACTGGTAGAAACATTGTCCCCAGACAATTCTTGGACTACCCTCGGAATATTCCCAATGTAGAGGGACAGGCCCGACTTAACCCTGCGATTTTGGCGCCACGATTGCTGTGAAGGCGGTCCGTCCGTCGACGGAGCAGTCCTCCTCCTCCTCCTCCTCCTCCCTCCTCCTCCTCTTCCTCCTCTTCCTCCTTCTCGCTCACCTCCTCCTCTCCTCCTCCTCCTCCTCCTCCTCCTCCTCCTCCTCCTCTCTCCTCCTCCTCCCTCCTCCTCCACCTCCTCCTCCTCTCCTCCCCCCTCCTCCTCCTCTTCCTCCTCCCGCTCCTCCTCCTTCCTCCTCCTCCTCCTCCTCCTGAGCGATCTGCTCCAGTCCGTCCGTCGTCGAGGATTTTGGCGCTGTCGGGCGGCCCGAGCTCTGCGACCCTTCGGCCGGGGCCTCCCAGCTGCCACGCGGCGCGCCAGGTGCACGCACGTGCAGCGCCATCCAGGAAGTCGGCGAGAGCGCCTCCTCCTCCTCCTCCCCCTCCTCCCTCCTCTCCTCCTCTCCTCCTCCTCCTCCTCCTCCTCCTCCTCCTCCTCCTCCTCCTCCGCTTCCTCATCCTCCTCCTCCTCCTATCCTGCCCCTCCTCCTCCTCCTCCTCCGCCTCCTCCTCCTCCTCCTCCTCGAGCGGCAAAACCCTGCATCAGACCAGACTTCGGCAAGCTCTGTGTGGCGGCGAGGGGTGACGCGGAGGCGAGCTTCGAACGCTTGATCGGGACGCCCACGACGCGAGAGTCGCCTCGCGTTGCGGGCGGCAAGAAAAGCGTAACTGTAAGCAGCGCGTTTCAAACAGGCTGACTGGTTATCGGAGAACAGAAGGAGGCAAGAGGGGAACCAGTGGGGGCTCACGGCACCTTGACAAACACAAAGAACTTTCCCACGGTTTCGCACGTAAGGACTTCAGCCGAGGACAACCACAGTAGTGAGACAGCGAGTCTAAGTCCGTATCATCAGATGTCACTCAGCCGAACAAACATCCTGCAGGTCGGGAGTGAACGCGGGCGTGCAGAAGGAACAGGTGAGCAATCTCAAAGGGGCGATCCCACGATACATGGACGTAGACTTGCAAATGCAGCGAATACTGTCTCACCTACTGTCGATATGAGAGGGCCGCACCTCGGGACAAGAATATCGCGCGCGCTGGAATCGTGCGGTACGGGCTGCCCCAGACCGTCGGAGTCTCCGAAAGTGCGTGTGCAACCTGGCCTGAAGGTTCGGCGATCCCGAAGCTATGACCGCGTTCAGTCCGAAATGCCAGTCCCTGAGACGACGAAGATGCCCAAGAAAGAAAACGGATGCCACCCAACATGCCACCTGTAAGGGATGCGTTTCGGGTCTTCCCGAGCCCGATCCAGATCCTCCAAGACAGTGCGCAAGAAGCCAGGGCGCAAGACATGCCGAACGGCGGCAGCACGCGCAACAGCGCATCCCCTACGAAGTCGGTGCCGAAGCCCGTCGCTTTCAGCTCCGTGGGAACGCTATAGGATATTGCGTCCCGAGGCCCAGAAATGAATGGCATGACACTTTCGCGGAGTGCGTGAGTGAGTTTAGCTCTCGGTGGGTAAAGCTGGAGTCGGAACAGAAGCTTGGATGCGCACGTGGCGCGGAACGCAACGGCAAACTGGGCGATGCCCAAAAGCAAGCTGACGAGTCTGGCGCACCCTGGCCAGGAACCCAGGAACACTGCCAGACAGTGGTAGCGGCCTCATGACCAATGGGAATACCCAATGGATACGACCAACGCCGCCGATGCATCGCCGATGCATCCTCGATGTATCGCCGCTGCATCAGCGATGCGGCGCGATCCTCCGATCCCATCTACTCGGACCCCATCTAGGAGGCCTCTGGAGGAGGGGGGCGGTGGTGGGCGCCGACTGGAAAGCGTCCGCGGGAACGAGCGCCCTCAAGCCAGAGAGCTTCGGCGAGCGGCCTCAGGACCAGCCCAGGACGCAACTTGGATCGTGTCAAAGGGTGCAGCTAGCTCGCCAACGCAGCAGTCAGGCGAAGCCTGTCAGTGCCACAGCATCGGATAATCTGGCACTTCTTGAAGTTCAACCGCAAGTTGGCCATATCAGCCAGCATCATAAGTGCAGGCATAATCGGGCCCAGGTCCGCCACCGCCTTCATCAAGCAAACCAGGTCATCATCTGCATGCGAGAGATTAATTTGCACATACAGGGGGCAACGGTGCCGAAGCCAGCGCAGCAATGGATCCATCGCCAGAACGAGCAGCACATCGAAACTGGACGCCCTTCTTTCACCCCCGACTCGATGGCGATGATATCAAACCTCTGCCCCCCAATGGTGACGGTGGCAGTGTTACTCTCATACATCATGGGGAACACTTGATCACGCACGGGCAGATGCACACCGCACGCGGGACGAAAAAGAACCATACTTGGGTAAGGCGTGGGAATGCAGCGGCAAAGCCGGCGAGGAGGAGCGGGGCATGTGTACCCTCGCGCATCTGGCGGGCGAGGCCCCAGGATTCCGCTCCCGCGACGTTCCCAGCCATGTCCCGACCGG